AACTTCTCACCAACAACTTGCACCTTAAATAATAACCCATTATTGTCTCTTAAATACGCTATATTGTTACCCATTTGCAACTAACAATTTAAAGAGAGGATACACTCATATTTAGAGGTTGAACCTCTCCACATGACTCGAGCTCCATGCAAGCCCTTAGACCAACCAATTAACTGCATGTAAGTTAGGGCTGAAGGCTAACAGAAACATGCGAGGAAACTGATCGACAAAATGCTTTACTTATGAAGTTGAGAGGCACTGTCAGGGAACTTGACATAAAACTGTTAAAGTTATGAGTGCAGAAAAACATAAAAGTTTTCTGGCACCAATCAGAAGCCAGAACGGAGGCGACCGTTTGGAACTGGTCTGGTAAGACATTGTCCCCAGGGGCTCTTCTCGCCGTTCTTTACTTTTCTTCTTGCCATATTTTTTTACCCGTTTAAACTTTCCCTCGCCCCAACTATCTGCCCCTGGGTCTCCGAGGATGAGTTTTCCCGCTACTTTTCGTTTTCTTACTACGGACAAAACATTACAGTTTAATGCCAGGTTAATCCAAGAGACTTACTTTGCACAGTGTTTAACTATTTATTTCCTTATTTGAAACATTGTTAACTTAAACGTGACGTTAGCCTTTTGCCGTAAAGGTAATTCTACATCTCTCTCTTAAAAGATGACATAAATTCTTGCCTTGTCAGGTCAGTCAAAAAAAGATATGGCCCTGGTTGTTCAAACGTTGGATAGCGCTATCCACCGGATAAATCACTATCTAGCGGATAAGTATTTGGGAAACAAATTGCGTTATCCAGTGGATAGAGATTAATCCATTGGGTAGCGCTATCCACCTTTTGAACAACTGGGGCATGGACTTTTAGAGGCTAGGTCTCAAAACGGGTGTGAAAAATAACTTTTTTGCACTGAAAAAGGGTCAGGATTTGGAGAACTGGGTGGCACACCCCCACCAAGAATTCCCTTGATTACCCCCCGGGAAGCTGTCCCACTTTGTAATACTGTACCTGTCGCGCTAAGTAAAATAGTATTGTAACTCAGGGCTTGCTTTTATATCGTTCATAAACGTATTAAAAGGTTAGAAAAATTTTAATAGCCATTCATTCTCCATTTATACTACATCCAGTATAACTACTGTTACGGTCATGTCTATAACATTTTTCTTTCACTTTACAAACTATTCTTCTTGCATAGAAGTCTCTATACTCCTCAGGAAGTTCATCTAAAGCTTTAATTGCACGGTCCATTATTTGCATAGCCCTTGAAGCAGGAACCAAATCCTTGTTCCCATACGTGTCCTTGCTGTCATAGTAACAGGGGTCCAAATGGCGCCAGAACACGTTCACTGCTACTCCAAACTTCAAGACAAGAACGCAGAAAAGTGTAAGAAACGGAATAAATTAAATGATTTAGCTTCTTTTTGCTAATTCCTAGTATTTTGTTATAGGGAGTGCCTATTCATCATCATCATCATCATCATCATCATCATCATCATCATCATCATTTATTTGCCTTTTTGTTACACCAAATTTTACAGGATACAGCAGGTTTTTAGGCGAGGAGACCTCAAGAAACCACCAGGCTTATAAAGAGAGGCCACCTCGACATCACAATATTATAAGAAATAAGGGCTATATTTAGAGAGTGGCATCTAATACAAACTTAGCATCGTAAAGGGGGCCTTAATTAAGTAGGAGGTTTTTTTTTGGAGGGGGTATCAATTAGATCATTTACAGTGATTGAGTTTTGACTAACAGATTTGGGACCTAGCGAAGTTGGTAATAACTTTCTCAAACTAATTAATAACTCATAAAGAAAGTACAAAAGAAAATTAATCTTTCATGAGTCTTTGAAAAACTGCTCATTTTTGCATCCGTAATTTCTCCTTCTAAAATAATTTTGTTTGAAAAGTAATATCAACAATTCGAAACAGTGTTTCATCACCAGATGAAACACCTCGAGGTTCGTCAAAAATACTCTGCTGTGTGTCGTATTTTCAACTCTCTTCTCAGTGTTTCATCTGGTGATGAAACACTACATCTCATGTTTGATATATTACATGAACCACTCACCTCTAGAGAGATCACATTATGAAACCACATGGCAGGAATGAACAACACATCCCCAGGCTCCATAAAACACTCATAAGGAATCACCTCAGTGAACTTAGGAAACCTAGACAGATCTGGGTTATCTATGTCCAGCACCTCTGATTTATCACCATTTAAATAAAGTTTTGTAGCCTCTCTTGGGCTGTACAGCACCACACGTTTGCGTCCTATGACTTGAATTAGGAGATTATCCATAATCTGAAAAAGGATACCAGAAACCAAGTAACATTAAAACTTGTGGTGGAAAATGCAGGCCAACTCATGCTGACAGAAACCACAAAATCCACTCAAAAATTTAGGGTTGCAATAATTACATTCTTAAAAGCGATTTTGGTTAATTACATGTACGTGTTGCTCACATGATGCAGAAGCATATGCTTCTGTATGACGTCAAAGCTTATCTGGACACCCCCTACATAACTGGACAGTGAAAAGCAGGATTCGATAGCCAAGCATGTAACACAGCCTGCCCTCCTCTGGAAGTCTTTTTATTCAGCTACGATGTCACTCACTACTTAGTGTACTTGTTAATGACTTTGACTCAATAAACTTGTTGCCCAACATCTCACTGTGTGGTTTTTGAAAACATGCGATTATAGTCACTGATTATTAATTGGGAAGAGTCTCATTAAAGGGGGCATTTTTGGGGTACAGTCTGTAGACATGCTCTACTGTAAACTCCTTTAATATGGAGCTTATGCAACAATGACCACAATGGCTACAAACATGTTAGTTTAAAAATGTGTTCGCACAGCTTCAAACTTAATCACGCTTACTCCATCTTGTTCAATTTGTCAAATGTTGACGAATTTTTCAGGAGTTGAATTTTAAAGGCCTGTACCAAAGTTCAGGAAAAGAAAAAAAGGGTTGTTGCATTGTGGTCATGTCCTCCACAAAACATGAAATTAGGCAATTCACGTCATAGTCATGCAATGACGGCAAAGAAATGTACAAAAAAGCATGACGCATATGCATAGTTGTTGTTTTGCCAATCTAAACCTATTGCTTTTTTGCCGTTCTCGTTGCTGTTGCCATCATTGTTCCTTAAGCTCCCTAGTATTGCATTATGAATACTCACATCATAATGAGTCCACAGCTGGCCATTAGACGAGCTTATTCGAAACACGCTGGAAAAGAGTCTGTCCTCAGGGTAGAGTTTTGGTATTTTAATATCCTGAGCTAGTTTAGGAAACTGTACAGCTATGTCTGATATGTCCTAGACAATAAAGCAGAAAAGTAAAGTATTTACAAATTTTAAGCCCCTTACATAAAAATTTTTTAGTCATTATATGCTGGGCTTGAAAATTGAATTCAAGCTTGTTCTTTGGGCAAGCAGCTGTCGCATTTTGCTTGCCTGTGGCCACTTCTTGCTCATCTCAGTTAGTGATTTTGTTAGAGGATAATGTGTACCCTGGACTGTTGCCCATTGGGCAAGTAACCTATAAAAGTTATTTTCCCAGGTAGGAAAATCTTCCTGTCCAAGACTACTGGATGGGACTATTTTCACACCCTGCATAGATGTCAGTGGATAAGAATAAAAAGTCAATGGCATCAAGTGTTTTGTCAAAACTTGAACATCTCAATAGGATGACATTTCACATTTTCATCATGATAAGATCATTGCCACATTAGATAATTTATCACCTCTGTACTAAAATACACTGTGCACATGCAAGTTGATCATTTATTTGGGAGACATTATTTAGTCATCATCAACACTGCTTCTTACCTTTCTTGGATCATCTCCAATGGATCTCAGGTAGTATTTTTCTTCCTAAAAGGAAAAATATTTTTATTCTATCACATGGTTTCTTCAAATCTTTTTTCACCCATGTGCTATACCTTCACAATATTGGTAACATTTTTGGCCAAGGGAGCGAGAATAAGAGTAGAAAATTAAAAGTAAAACACAATGTTTCACGAAAAGCAATATATTTTAATCCATTTACCATACACATTTTGAGTTAATGGGCAAGCAACTAATGCAGTTTGAAGAGCAGTTATTAAAAATTTAACAATTGAAGAAATGCATTTGCTTGAAGTGCATAATGATTGATTGAAATGGAAGAAGTACCATATTAGAGCTGTCGTCAACTTACATGTAAGCTATGGTTTTGGGATGTATAGCATTAGCTAGGTAGGTTAAGTGTGATGCATGAGCCATGTGGCAAATAGTTCTATCCCCCCTCCATGGATGGGATACCAGTCCATTGCAACGCTGAAGAGGACAAACAAAGGCAATACTGTTTTAATCTCTTAGTTTATCTGGTAAACTTACTGGACAAATGAAATATTCTCCATGGACATCTTCGCTAGCTCGCTTAACAAACTGGTTAAATGGAAGGGTTCTGAAAGGGTAGAGATTGAATAAAAGTAAAAAATAGGGACTCAAGTTTTTGTTGTTTTCAACAAGATATAATACATGTATATAAAGTTTAGATGTTAAGATAATTCCCTTGTTTGGCACTGCACATCACCTAGTGCCCATAACACTGCGACTTCAAAGGTGACGATGATTTTCGCAGGTAGCCTAAAAAGAGGTAATTAAGGCCCCTCTTGTAGTCCTAGTGCTTTTAATGGTAATTTTGATACCTATAACCAGCTAAATAAGTGTTTGTGCTGAAACTCACCCTAGTCCCCTCCTACAAAATGATCATTTGAAGTCGAAATTGTCTCTTTATTGCCATTTTGCGATGAAACGAGAATGGTGACCTCACATTTTTATTTGTGTTTCCTACCCGTCATGGCTACACAAAAAATATATACAAATCTGGATAGTAGAAGTTGTATTTTATTTAGATAAAAATGACGTGAAACTCCTCATTTAGAGCAACACACTTAAAGTATTTAAGATTGGGTAATTTGAAGTCACTTAACTGAAAAATTATACCCCAGACAAAAGAAACAGGACCTAGGTTTAAGAAAAATTTGTAGTTTTTGTTAATTTTTGTCTGCTGTTCAAGTTCAGAGAATTTTGCGTGCAGCTAGGAAAACAACACTCAGAATTACGGGCACACAGGGTGAAAACAAGCACTTTGACCCTATCTATTTACTGCAGTTTTTGAATGTCCTATGTATGGGTGACATTTGTGCCAAGTTTGAAATAAATCTAGATAGTACATCCTTTTCAAGGGAATTACCTTAAATTCCTGGGCCCAGTTGTTCGAAGGCCGATTAGCGCTTAACCCCGGGTTAAATTTAACCCGAGTTTCTTTCTCTTGTGTTCAAAGGCATTTTCTTGGATAATTTTCTCTGTTATTTTTATAGCTTCCAATAATCAACTTGCAGACAAAAGGAATTAAAACTGAAATACTTTTCAAGCTTTCACAACTGAATTCAAATCTCGCACTAGAAACCCTGGGTTATCTTAACCCAGCTTTGAACAACTCGGCCCTGATTTTATTTTATTCTTAATTCAACTTTTATTTCCTTTTGCTTCAAACATTACTACATTATTACTTCATTATTACTTCATTATCGTACATACCATATCCCAGAGCAGAGGGAAATAAAGTTTGAAACAGGAATAAAATTTAAGCACAACTTAAATTAGGGCATAGTTAGTAGAACTAATGGTTAAAGTAAGGTGTAAGATGAGGTAAGGTTAAATCACAAAGGTACATACATTAAGACTTTTTTGTTTCGTATGGCTTTCTGTTAATTTTATCTAATTTAGTTGCTCATTATCTTATTTTTAATATGATGTAATTTAGTTTTTTATGATGTATTTTTAGTTTTTTTTTT